CTAAATATGAAGGTACTTCGGCACACACACAACACACTCTCTTTGGGGCCCTTAGGTTAAAGGTCTGCTCTTCTCCAGGGAGAGAGGCCCCAATCCTTGGTCTGATTCATGTTGGAACTTCAGGAGCCATCACAGGGCCCCCAAACCAAGGTGCACACCACAGACTCCGAGCCAGGCTGCCTATGTGCTCACAGGCTGTTTATTATCCAAGCAGAAGGAGGAGAGAGAGAGGAAGTGGGGGGGCGGGTGGAGGGAAAACCAGGGGCCCTCAGGTGGTGGGCGGAAGGGAAAGTGAACAGAAAGGCTCCTCTTCTTTCTCCTGCTGCTGACCAGGGAACTCCACCCTCAGATGGGGCCTCTGGGGTGGCATAGGGGCCTCAGGAGGCCCGGCAGCTCAGTTGTTAGCTGGGGTCGGGATCCCCGCAGGGGCAGGTCCCAGGCTCGGAATGGCTTCTGTGTACACAAAATATCTCTCTGCAAAAGGCACTGGTGGAGGAGGGCAGCAGGAAGGCCACCCCATCACAGGCAGGGTCCACTGGGTCCTGGGTCTGGGTCCTGGCCCCCAAGACCAATCCAGCCTCCCTCACAGGCTGGGTCTCTCAGGCCCTGTTCTCCTCTCCTCTCCCTCAGCCCAGCAGTGAGCAGGCAGTCAGCAGAGGGCCGGGTCACGTGGCAGACACCCCCTCTTCAGGGCTAGCCCATCTGGTGACTTCTAGGCCAAGAGCCCCAGGCGGGTGACTTTGGCTGAGAGGAAGGAGTGGATGATGAAGACCATGGTTTTGGGACACGAGTGCAGGTCCAGCTGCTGCAGGAAGGATGGAGAGAAGGGTCAGGGCCCTGTCCAGCTAGGCCTCCTGGGGTGCACCCCCCTCACGGTACAGAGGTGACCCTCCACTTACGATCTCGCCTTCAGCGCCTCCAAAGTCCAGGAAAAGGAGACTGGCGCCATCATCCGAGGACATCTGCAGCTTCTCAAAAGGCTGTCGGAGCAACACGGCCCGGGCTGCTCCCGGCTCTGCAGCCCACAGCGTGAAGCCCTTGTCGATGTGCACGGAGAGGCTGCAGGGACGGCCATGCCACGTGCAGGCTGCAGGGAAGGCACGCGGGCACAGGCACAGCTGGCACCTCAGAGACCATGTGACCCACCTCCAACCCCACCAGCAGCTCCACAAAGTGGGGCTAAAGTACCCCCAGGGCTGGGGGCTCACCTCCCTGTGCAGTCACCACCACCCTAAAACACAGCAAGACAGGCCCTCAGAGAACCTGCGCCTGCTTCCAGTCCCACTTCCAGTCCCACCTAGCAGCCCCATAAGTAGAAAGGGGCTTAAGAATCTACCATGGGCAAGAGGCTCACTCCCCAAAAAGACATCAGCAAGCCCACTAAGCATGGTCCCAGAGACCGATAGAGGTGCCTCGCTAAATTTAAATTTCAGGTGGGCATGGTGGTGCAGGCCTGTAATCCCAGCTACTCAGGAGGCTATGGCAGGAGGATTGCAAGCTCAAGGACAGCCTCAGTAACTTAGCAAGACCCTGTCCCAAAATAAAAAGTAAAACGGAATGAAGATGTAATTCAGCAGGAAAGCACCCTTGGGCTCAATCCCCAGAACAAAAAAGAAAATAATTTCAGAAAAACAGCATAAAATTTAGACATACTTAGATTTTTTTTAAGTATATACTATTAGCTGGGCATGGTTAGCATGTGCCTGAAATCCTAGCATCTTGGGAGGCTGAAGCAGGAGAAGTCAAAGGCAGCCTCAGAAACTTAGCAAGGTCCCAGGCAACTTAGCAAGACCCTGTCTAAAAATTAAAACATAAAAATAAAAAGGGATGAGGATGTGGTTCAGTGGTTAAATGCCTCTGGGTTCAATCCCTGGTATCAAAATAATAAATAAATAACCACCAAAAAAAATTTTTGTTGCTTATCTGAAATTCAAATTTAACTGGGTGCCCTGCATTTCATCTGGAGCCCCACCCCAAGTGCCAACTTTCACAAGGACACAGCTTGAAAGATCCAAGGGAAAAGACCCACGACCTACCAGGGTATCTACATATTCAAAAGAGAGGGCCTCTGGAGAACCCAAACCCCACTTACTCTCCCCCTTCTAGGGTACCCTAAAGAAGGAGCTTGAGCCAGCTGTAGTGTCACAGGCCTGTGATCCCAGCTACTGGAGAGGCTGAGGCAGGAGGATTACAAGTTCAAGGCCAGCCTGGGCAACTTAGTGAGACCCTGTCTCAAAAGATAAAAAGGGCTGGGGATGCAGCTCAGTGGTAGAGCACCCCTGTTTTTAATCCTCAGTACCACAAATAAATAAATAAATAAGGAATGAGGAAACGGGAGGAAAAGGAGGAAGAGGAAGAGGTTGAATGCCTCCTCCCGGGGGAAGAGGCTCATTACGAGACAGATACTCCCAGATCCACCCAGCGCACCTGTGGACACCTCTTGCACACCCTCAGCAGCCCGGTGACAGCCATCCACCAGCTGTCGGGTCCAGGCAGCCAGCTCCTGAGGTGACTCCACGCTGAACAAGTGAGTATCCACACCGTGGCGTGTGCCCGTGCGCAGGGCAAAGGACAGCTCTGCGTCGTAGGGCACCGAGCCCTTGGAGGGGCCTGAGTGCACCAGCCTGCGGTGGAGGACAGAGGGCGACGCGTGAGGCCCTGGGGTGGGGGAAGAGTCTGGGCAAAATGGGCAGTGATCAGTGACCTGTGGATCCTTCCCACTAATGGGGACTCAGCAAGAGGTGTCCCCCCCACCCTCCTCTGGTGGCCCGGCTCCAGCCACAGTGGTGTCCCCACACCCGCCGGGCACACTCCTGCCTCAGCACCCCTACACGTGCTCTTCCCTTTGCCTAAACACTACGGTCTCCCCGACTCGCCTTTGCATGTCCTTCAGATCTTTGCTCAAATGTCACGTCCTCTGAGAAGCCTAGAGTCAGGGTTTAGATATGAGGTGTCCCCTAACAGCTCATGTGTGCGAGGTGAAGTGATTGGGTTCTCAGAGCATTAATCCCTGATAGGGACTAACTGGGTGGCAACGAAAGGCAGGGAACTGTGGCTGGAGCAGCTGGGTCCCTGGGGACATGCCTTTGTCCTTGTTGAAAGGATCCCTCTCTTTCTCTGCTTCCTGGTGCACTCTCAGGAGCTCTTTCCTCTGCCGGCCCTTCCGCCATGGGGTCCTGCCTCACCTCTGGCCCAGAGCAATGGAGTCGGCCATCTACGGACTGAGACTCTGAAACCACAAGCACCAAACAGACGCTTCCTCCTCCGAAGCTGCTCTTGTCAGGCCTTTGGGAACAGTACTGGAGAGGCTGATCAAAGCTCCCACCCTGGCCGCCCTGGCCAACAGCACCCTTCTCTCTCACTAGCCCTACTTTTCCTCATGACACCAGAAATCGCGCTTTTTATTTATTTGCTTCCATTGGCTTTTTCACTGGAATGTCCACTAGGGTAGAAATTTTTGTCTATTTGACCACCACTATTCCAGTAACTCAAAACCATGCCCTACACATAGTAGGAGCTCCACAAACATTTGTTGCCTTAATAAGTCAGCTGATTAAGCAGGCAATCTACTACCCACTTGTCCCCAGTAACCAGCAAACTCCTGACACACAGGCCAGAACCAGCCCAAGGAGAGGAGCCTCTTGCTGTGTGGCCTTGGGCAGCTCACTGCTTCTCTCTGATCAGCAGACCTCAGAGTTCTGGCCACAGCCCTCTCTGCTCTTCACCCTGTCCACTCTCTCTTTCTCCTGGAGCTCTAGTTTCTCTTCAGGGCTCCTTCTGACACCCAAGCTCCTACATTCCAGCCATAAGCCACAGACTTGCAAGTCCCCAAGCTCCCTATCCAAGTTCCATATCCGTCCCCCATACACTTTGGACCTGACTCAGCACCTCACTCCAGCCTCCTCCCTTTGCACTCCCACCTCCAGTCCCGCCCACCCCCCAAACTGCAACCTCCTATTCATCCTGGGACACCTCCTTCACCCTCCCCATCTGGCAAGCGCCAGGCTGTGAATTTTCCCCGATGTGTGTTCTCCAATGCAAATGCTGTCTCTCTTCCCCATCTGCTGCCTCCGCCCACCTGCCTCCCCCAGTCACACCAGCTCCCCTGCAGGCTGCAGGGGCTGCCAGCTTCCATCCTGCCCTTTCCAGTGCATTTCCCAAGTGACAGCCACAGGAGACTTTTTGAAAAACACAACCCCAGTCACCGGACTCCCTGGCTTAACCCCTTCAGCTCTGCCACAGGTCTTAAAGGGAAGCCAGCATCCTTAACCAGGCAGCAGAGGCCCCGAAAGATTAGGCCTCGCCGACCCCTGTCTCTTTTCAATGCATGTCCTGTGTGGACTATGTACCTGGTCATGCTGCACTCCTAGCTCCACGAACACGCCACAGCCCTGGATGCCTCAGCACCTCTGATCACGACGCTCCCTGCATGAGAGGCTCGTCCATCCTTTCCTAAATAATCAACTCACCCATCAAGTCCAGCTCAGATGTCACCTCATCCCCAAAGCCTTCCCCAACCAGGCCAGGTAGAGATAAGTGGTTCCTTCAACCCTGCACTATAATGTCACCTCTTAGGTCTGTCTCCTGGACCAGGCTGGGTTCTCCCTGAGGGCAGTATCTGCTGGGATAAGTTCTTGAGTCCTCTGAACCATGCAGCAAGCCCCCAATTCACAGATGAGGAAACCGAGGGCCCAGACAAGGCAGAGACTTGCTTCAGATCACTTAGGGAATAACTCAGGGAAGAATAGGGCAGGAATGCATAGCTTCTGGACCTATCTGGAGCATCTGTCCCCAGGCTCTGGGTGAGTCACACAGTCCGTGCCCATGGATACCTGGTGGCAATGAGTGGGGCGGTCCGGGCCGGTCGGCTCAGGGCCTCACGGGTCTGAGGGAGACTAGAATAGAGGAGCAGCTCCTTTTCGGTCAGCAGGGCCAGGGTGGGGGCCGTGCCCCCACTGGGCAGCTGCAGAAGGATAGGAAGGGGAGAGGTCAGAGGGAGAGTGAGGAGGAAGAGGGGCATTGGGAACAGGCCAGCGTTAAAGTGAGGGCTACACCGAGGACCCGGCAGATACCTGTTCTGTCAACCAGCCAATCTGCTTGATGTCCTGGTTCCCAGCTGTGCCTGTGGCTGCCAGCAGTGCCTGCAGCTCATCCTTGACCCAGGGCATCAGCGCGTTGATCTGGGCTTGGATGGCACCAGCCCATGACCTTGCACCAGCCTCATCCTTGGCCTTCAAGAAGAGCGTCTCCTGGCCATCTGCTGCGCAGATCTCCAGATACCTGCAGGCACAAATGGAGCAGGGGAGGCCTGTCACTGGGCTTCAGCTGTCCAACCCTGAAGTCTGACCTAAGAAACCCAATCCACCACCAAACCAGAAGCAGCCACAGGGAATGTCCGGGAGAGAATCAGTAGCAGCGTTCAGTGCTGGGCCCCAGCTCCAATTGTTGGGGTCTAGGGACACGGGGCTATGTCATACACACACGTGTGCACAAACACACAATTACACTCAAACATGTGTTCTGGGGGACAAAATTTTTACTCTGAGTAATTATCATGCTCTTTTCTCCTGTTTTCTAAGGAAGATTCTTTTGCTGGACCAGCTCCCAGGTTCTCCTTTTGTATGAAACCAAAGTAGTGTGCATACTTACAAGGGGAAAAAACACGAAAGTGGTCAAGAGACCAAATGGACCTACATAATAAAGAGCTTGGGAAATGAAGTGGGGGTAAGGGAGGAGACATGGACATGCAGGCAGCTGTGGAGGGAGAGTTTCAGGGCACAGTGTGCAAGGCATTTTCAGAAGGCTTTGTAGGGCACTAAAGAGTCACTCCCCTTTGGCATTTCTGAACTAGATAGGGCGGGACAGAAGTGGAGGGTGGCTTACTACACCCCTTCTGCTCCCTTCACGTCTGCTTCAGAAC